AAAGAAAGAAAGAAAGAGAAAGAAAGAAAGAAAGAAAGAAAGAAAGAAAGAAAGAAAGAAAGAAAGAAAGAAAGAAAGAAAGAAAGAAAGAAAGAAAGAAAGAAAGAGTACAGGTAGTCCTTGACTTACAACAGTTTGTTTAGTGACTGTTCAATGTTAAAACGGCACAGAAAAAGTGACATGACCACTTTTCACTTTTACAGTGAAGTTGCAGCCTCCCCAGAGTCATGTGATCAAAATTCAGCTGCTTGACGACTGACTCATATTTATGACGGTCGCAGTGTCCCAGGGTAATGTGATCCCCTTTTGTGACCTTCTGACAAGCGAGGAGCCAGATTCACTTAACAACCGTGTGACTAGCTTAACAACTGCAAGGATTCAACTTCATAATTTTGGCAAGAAAGGTCGTAAAAACGAGTCACAGCTCCCTTAACAAAGATCCCCTTAGCAGCAGAAATTTTGGGCCCGATGGTGGTCATAGGTGGAGGACCACCTGGACAGGCGTACCTTTTAATCTCAGTCTGAAAAGCATAGGTCTGGTGGGTTGGCAGTTCTGCCATCCTGTTCTCTTCTTCCTGAGCTTGAAATGCTGAAAAGAGGAAGGGACAAATTCTAAATTAAAACATGGTTATCACACACGGCAGATAAAAGTGCTCTTAACGCAACGCCAACCCTTCTGAGGCTAAACTTAGTTTCCCAGCAGGGAGGGGTTCCCGGGGTCTCCATCACACACAACAGTCCCGATTTTATTGCAGCCGTTGTTCTTAACCCCAATCCTTCTGCACTGATGGTTCTCGCTTTGGTTTACATAGGTAGTCCTCAGTTTACAACTGTTCTTTTACAGACCGTTCGAAGTTACAATGGCCCTAAAAAACGGGGGACCTTTGACCACTTTTCACACTTATGACCATTGCAGCGTGCCCATGATGATCAAAATTCAGACCTTTGGGAGCTGACTCATATTTATGACCGTTGCAGTGTCCCTGGGATCATGTAGATCCCCTTTGGCCACCTTCTGCCAAGCAAAGTCAATGGAGAATCTGGATTCACTTAACAGCCATGTTGATTTGCCTAATGACTCATGATTCACTTAATGACCATAGCTATCCAATCAGATAGGTCATGTGATGAGCCCCTTTACGACTGTTACATCTTACGACCAAAGCGGGCAGTCTCTATTGCAGCTGTAAGTTGAGTACTACTGACTTATATTCAATGCGATTAGTCCTTGAGTTACAACCAATTGTTTGGTGACCCCTCAAAGTTACAACGGCACTGAGAAAAGTGACTTGAAACCTGTCCTTGCACCTACAACTAAAGCAGCATTATCCATAGTCACGTCAAAATTCAGGTGTTCGGCAGCTGGCATGAATTTAGAACAGCTGCAGCATCCTGGGACCATGTGAGCCAACCTCCAACAAACAACAACAATGAGAGAAACTGGATTTGTTTCACAACCGCATACCACTGAACAATCATCGCCATAGCCACTTTAGAACCACGTGAAGGGGCGTGGGAGGAGGAGGAGGACTGTGGACTCTTTGGTGCTCTCTGAGTTTGGCTGTTTTCATGACCCAACTAAGGCTAAAGGGGGGAGGGTTGTGGGGAGGAGAAGGGGGAGGCGCTCTCAGAATTGGTTGTTTGCTTGCAAATGTTCCATTCGTTCCCTGAGGATGTGATCCAGTTGGTCAACGAGCTGAACTACAAACTCAGAGAGCAGCAAGCATCGCACAGAAAGAGAAACCCAGATAAACACGGATTAACACCAGACAAACAAGGAAGCAGCAAGCAATACCCGGGGGGTGGGATTCTACCGGTTCAGCCCAGTTCTAGCTCCAAAGGGCAGCCTAAACCAAACTGGTTCACTGCAACAATCTTCTGGTCTTCTCTTTGGCCCACCGGCCTGCCTGCCTGCCCGGGCTTTAGGTTTTTTCCTCCTTAACTGCTTTGGCACAGCTGCGTGGCACAACTGAGTGCTGCTCGTCAGCAGGACGGTGACTATTTGCCGGAGTTGGCAATTTGTTAACAGTGCGCAAAGCGTGCACTCACCAAACCCGTTGTTATGCCGGTAGGATCCCGTCCCCTAATCAAGGAATTGCCCTCCCAGCAGCAGTGCCAAGATAAGCAACTGTAAACTATAAAGGGAGCAAAGCCTACACTCCCTAACACGGATTACGTTACCTAGTTGGACGGTGAAAAGTCTGCAGGAAAACCACCAAATTCAGACAGCATGAAGGGCCCCTCGTTTCAACCCAGAGCTAAAAATAGTCTCTCCTGCTGAGAAAATGAATACCTGCTTGATCTTCTTCACCGATTTTCACTTTGGGAGTTGGGTAGCTGTATGGACCCACGCCGGCTGGGCTTACGCAGGCAATGCGAAAGGAGTAGACCAAACCCCGAGGAAGGTGTTCAACTGTGTAACAGCAATCTGGGATGTCACTGGCCAGGGTTTTCCACTCTCCATCTTGGCAGAGTAACAAAAGGAAGGAAGAAAAAGATTAATATATAACATTAAATTAATGAAAAAGATTAATAAAGTAGGAAGAGGATGAGTTCTAGCCCCATTTCAGGCAAGAAAGCCAGCTGGGTGACTTTGGGCCAATCGCCCTCCATTGCTCTCTGCGGTAGTTTCTTTGCCTCCCTTAAAGATGCAGGCGATACAGATAGTCCTCAACTTACAAACGTTTAGCGACCATTCAAAGTTACGATGGCATTGAAAAAAACTACTCGACTAGTTTTCACACTTACAACCTTTGCAGCATTGAAAGAAAAGCAAGGAAGGCCATAAAACGTAGCTTTTTCTCTGGTAATATCACACTACTAACTAGAGCATACAAAACATTTGCTAGACCAATACTTGAATACAGCTCATCAGTCTGGAAACCACATTATGTATCTGATATTAGCACAATTGAGAAAGTCCAGAAATATTTCACAAGAAGAGTTCTCCACTCCTCTACTCGTTGTAGAATACCTTATGCCACCAGACTTGAAATTCTAGAACTAGAAAACCTTGAATTACGCCGTCTTCGGTCTGATTTAAGCATGGTATATAAAATCATACATTGCAATGTCCTACTTGTCAATGAATATTTCAGCTTCAACCATAGCAACACAAGAGCAAACAACAGATACAAACTCAAGGTTAACCACACCAAACTTGATTGCAGGAAATACGACTTCAGCCACAGAGTGGTCAATGTCTGGAATACTCTACCTGACTCTGTGGTTTCTTCCCCAAACCCCAAAAACTTTAGCCTTAGACTGTCTACTATTGACCTCACCCCTTTCCTAAGAGGTCTGTAGGGGGCGTGCATAAGTGCACCAACGTGCCTACCGTCCCTGTGCTATTGTTTCTTTTATTTTTATTTTATTTTTCTTATATGTACTCATTTCATGTATTCATAACTATGTATACACTTATACTTATTATCTTGTAAACAATTGACAAATCAAATAAATAATAATAATAATAAAAAAAAAAGAACGGGGAAAAACTTGTCTTGCTGAGCTACGGAAAGTTTGGGCTCCATTATGGTGATACGTTGAGGACCACCCGTAAAAGAGAAGCCGCTTACCGTCCTTCTTGCACAGAACCGTGTAAGTCACTGGGTGGTTGAGTTCCACTGCTTCCCAGGCCAGCCGTACACCATCTTCAAGAACTTCAAGGATATCAGGAGCAGGTATGTTTGAAGGTGCCTCTGGGGCAGAATAGAAAACCATCATTCACCCCAACGTTGGCGTGGTATGATTTTGAAAACACACTGGAAAGCAACTTGAAGCATCGTGAAAGATCATTTTCAGCTCAGCTGCACCCCAGTCACAAACTCTGGGGGCTGATCTCATCAGGAGAAAGACTCATTCATTCCAGTTGCAATGCCTTTTATTTGAAATAATGTTTTTCATTGCATAAGAAACATGATGTTGATAGGAGATATTATTGTAGTTCAGGACTGATTGACCCAACTAGGTAACATCTTCAGTGATAGAAGGGGGTGGGGGTTACAAAGGGGAGGAGGAGGAGGAGGAGGAGGAGGAGGAAACAGACCAACAGATAATAGAAATAACTGATGGATAGAAAGACAGACAGACGGATAGATGATAGAGATAGACACAGATAGATACAGACATGAATTTGGATGAATGGAAAGAGAAAGAGGTGAAGAATGATAGATGTATGAATGGACAGAGTATAAGCGGATAATTAAACAAACATAAGACAGAACTGGTAGAAAAGAAACACAACACCATAATAGATTTGGGAGAAAGCTGATGGACTGAAATGCCCCCTTAATCCTGAGGCAAAGACTACCTTAAGTTTTGGGGAGGTTTTTAAGGGTAAGATGCTTTCAGGCAGCACAAGGAGAGATATTTTTCCTTCCCAAAATCTCTACATTCCCATTTTTGGACCCACAATTTCTGAGCCTCTTTGGATCCCAGGATGCAAGAGGGAAGAAAACCATATTTTACCTGCTTTCCTTATGGTGCAGGAGGTGGAAACAGTACCGTGGGAACTGGTAGCCTTGCAGGTGTAGACGCCAAAGTCCGCCATCGTAGCGGATAACACGGTTAAAATCTGGAACCGTTTTAGAGTTGAAGAAATCAGGATCCGATCCGTGCTGCAAATTGCTGCTCCATCTAAAAGGCGATAAAAAGAAAGTCGCCAGGAATTTGGCTACCACCTAAAATTGAAGGTCAATCTCTTTGAAATGCCTGGAATCAGGAGTCCCACAAATTATATAGGTAGTCCTCAACTTATGGCCACAACGGGGACCAAAGACTCTCTTGCTAAGTGAGGCCATTAAGTGAGCCATGCCCTATTCCATGACCTTTTTTTCTTGCTCCGGTTGTTAAGTGAATTGCAGAAGTTGTTAAGTGAATCACATGGTCATTAAAGGAATCCGGCATCACCGATTGACTTTACTTGTCGGAGACCGGTGGGAAGGTCCCGAATGGTGATCACATGACCCTAGGATGCTGCAACTGATGCAAATACAAGATGGTGGCCAACTGCCCGAATTTTGATCATGTGACCGTGGAGATGCTACAATAGTTGTAAGTGTGAGGACCAGTCATCACTTTTTTCAATGCTGTTGTAACTTTGAACTTCGTTCCTTTCTTCTTCCCCACTTTTTCCTTCCTTCCCTCTTTCCTCCTTTCCCTCCCTCTCTTCCTCCCTTTTTTCTTCCTCCCTCCCTCCCTGCCTCCCCTTTTCCTTTTCTTCCTTCCTTCCTTCCTTCCTTCCTTCCTTCTTCCCTCCATCTCCCTCCTTTTTCTCTCCCTCCCTGCCTCCCCTTTTCCTTTTCTTCCTTCCTCCCTCCCTCCCTCCCTCCTCTTTTTCTTCCTCCCTCCCTCCCTCCCCTTTTCCTTTCCTTTCCTTCCTTCCTTCCTTCCTTCCTTCCTTCCTTCCTTCCTTCCTTCCTCCCTCCCTCCCT